AGGGGGGCTACTCTGAGAGACCACATGCACCTGGCGCAAGGTGTCTTGGGTGCCCTTCAATCGGAGCTTTCGGTCCAAACCCTGGTGAAATGGATGTGTTTTTGTTGATGATCATCATCAACTGCATTTCATGAGGCGAAACTCGACCTAGTGGGATTTGAATTCTTCATCCATCCTTGGACCCTCCGGCAAAAGGAGCCCTGGGTGCCATTTCGGGAGCGCCGAAAAGCTAAGTCTTCACCGAAGCTCGATGAACAAACCTCCGTCAGGTCGTCCTTGCCCCTGGCCCAACTGCCCAACCACCGAACCGTTTCGGAGCGCCACCCCATTGACGGGATGAGCACACTCGCCCAACCGTGAGCAGTTCTGCAGTGCCGCGACGGATGACGGATGACGGTGCGGTGGGCGGGTGTCGGGTCTGTCCGTTCGTGGGTGCCGCCACGAAACCGGAGTGAGCCGGTTCCACCATGCTGCCACTATCCCTAGGGATCCAGTCGTACCTTCTCAGGTACGGTGATTGGAGACTGTTTATGTAGGTTTGGAGGGTCCAAGTACCTTCTGAGGACGTACTTGGATCCCTAGGGTATAATAGTTACACACCAATTTGAAGCAACTTTGGCTGGTGGCATCCAAACAGCCCTTTGGCCCATCGATAAATATATGATCAGATTATCCATGGGCTCTCTTGTGTGGCTTCAAGCACCCCCCAAAAAACTGGTCCAACCGCCCGGCCTCGTCCCAAAAGTCCCGACCTCGTCCACCGTCACCCGTCACGCCCATCCCGCGCCGCTCACCCATTCCGCCCTCAAACGCGCCGCTCACGTCCGCCCAGCCACGCGTCACGGAACCGCCCGTCGTGGATCCTCCGAGCCACGGTGAAGTCACCCTCTTCATCACCGAGCGCGAGCGGGTCTCCTGGAGGGTCGCCAGTCCCGGTGAGCGGACGGAGAAGAAGATGGGAAAACGATCGGCCGTTGTCTTGGGAAAACGCTTCCGGTTGTTTGTTTCTTTTTTTTTCCCGGCAAACAAGAGGTTCTTTATCTCGTTTTCTACCCAAAACTAGTTGAAAAGATTGGGAAGTGTGATGAATTCGTGATTCTTGTCCAACGTGGGTTTGGCCGGCTACGAGTACTTTTGGTTGGGATCCTCCACCCAAGAATGGGACAACAGCCAGCTAGCTTGATGATTGACAGCTCGAAGACAGCTCTGGGCAACAAACAATCAAGCACACATCTACCGGGAAGATGCAGAGGAATGTCTTGGTTCAAAAGGTTTGGGTTTCCGAGTGCCCAAGCAAAGAAGCCAAGCAGCTGGGAGAATGGTTGACACATGTTGATCCATGTAATGGCTCAAAAGTTACAAAACGGAATCAACATGAATTTACAGTAATAGTATTTTATGTATGTGTTAAATGTATTTCTATTTCTTTGGATGGCTGGCATGAGTGTTTTGTTTGATTCTTGCTGATGGACTGAGTGCTATGTATGCGCTCCGCGCGCCAGATCCTGCCGCCTCTGCTTATCAATCATTCTCATGCAAGACATGTTCCATCTTTAAAAGCTAGTCATCATTTCCACATTTCATCATGTCATCATTTCACTTCTGAACGTCACCCTTCGTCATCACCGCGGCCGGCGCTTCTTCCGCCACCTGCGCATTGGGTTTACAGCCAGCCTCGCTCGTCTTCCACGTCTTCGGATCGCGGATCGCGGACCGCTCGTCGCATCCTCCAGCTCGCTGGTCGTCTCGATGGCCAACCAGTTCCTGGCGACGTCCGCGGTGAGACGCACCGGCGGACGTGGGGGGCTGCGATGGAGGCATCGGCACCGACATGGAGGCATCGGCAGGTGCACAACGGATCACGAAACGTAAAAAAAGGGTCCTATAGAGGTGTGACTGAACTTGTGATACGTGAGCAGTTCGGATCTCATCTCTACCGTGCACAGTGCAGAGCGCAGTCTGGCCGTGTGGGACGTCCGCAGGTCAGAGAGGGGCAGGAGATCCACATACTTCCTGGGTAGGTTGAACATTCAATTTCCTTGTGGAACAGGTCCGCAAGGGCTGGAAACCCATCCCCCTGGCACGGGTTTCCAGCCAACTGAGTCAGCTTCCTCCTGTCACAGGTGTTCACTGCGTTCCTTTGACCCAGCGCAATTCCCACGACTTCGCGACAGTCCCACGTTTGCGGCCGCGCCGCGCACCTCCCCTTGGTTGCCAAGGAGGAGACGTGCCCTGCATGGGCCAGCTCCTGGCAGCGGCTTCTCCGTCGATCACGAGTGAACCGCTTCTTCCATTTAACGCAGGAGGGGAAAGCATGGTAAAGCCGTAAGCTGTTGGTCCACCCGTGTGCTCTCAACATCTTGCATCCACGAAGAACAACAAGTGGGATCGTTTTGGGTTTGGAAATTGCTGGGGAATGTCCTATACGACTCCAGCGATCAGTACCTGGCACACCCAAGTCACAGATTCCTTTCGGAGATCCAAGCACCAAAAACGCCCCCGACCGGTTTCTGCGAACAGGTTGCCTTCTTCACTGCCTGGCTTCCCAGCTCCTTGGCTTAATCCTATTTTCGCCCTTCCTCGGGTCCGTGCACGTCCGGTCCGCTTCGCCCCGAACGACGTGGGTATACGTGGGTTTCTGCTGGAGAAGAAGCAGCCCATGGGTCAATGAGGCCTGTTTTGATAGGAAGGTTTGGACCATCTTTTGGGGTGGTTGGTGATCCAAACTAGACTCAGACTCTAGGTGTTGTTTGAATAGTTTATATACGATCTATATAAAGGTCTTATAAAGCCAAAGCACCCAAGAGAAACCCCCTACCCCATCCAACAAAAGGATCGAAAAGCCACCACTGGTGACATGAAAAGCCATCATTTCTTCAGCGCCTGGATGGCATCGGTAATGGTGAAATACTCCTGTGGCGACGTGCCGAACTCTTGATCACCCAGACTAGTCGAAGAAATCCATACATGCCAGCCGTTTCCAACTGGTTGTTTGTTTAAGTCCCATCCTGGTTTCAAATCATGTCCTTTCGACTTCTAAGGAATTACAAATTTAGTGTTAATATGTCTTAATCATAAGCTATCTTTCGCAAATGACACGTCATGCAAAGGCGGCGTCAGTTTTGACCTGCTCTCCGGTAAATGCAATCTATAAGAGTTAAGGTGTCCATGAACCAGTTTCATCCGCTCCACCCAACGGTTTCATCGAAGCGCACCTGGGCTTTTGCCAAGGCCTTCAACCTGGGCACGTTGGTGGAACGGAACCCCGGGGTGCGGACCGGATGCGGACCTGGTGGGTTCCATGAATTGGTATGCTCTTCTTTTAATGAACACCCTGCAACTATATACAAGAGGGCAAGGGCAATTAAGAGAGTAATGCATTTGCATCCTTGCATCCGAGCGATGCTGTTGAATAAGCATGCATCCCAGGCGAACAAAAACCCCAGGTCTCTCAACCTCTGAAAGAATTCGAGTCCACTTCCGGCTCCGTCCCGTCCCGATGCTTCCAGTCGGGCCCCCAGGGCGGGTTGACCCTCGTCGTCCAACCTCTCGAAGATCTCGCTGGTGCACGCGAAGAGCCCCGCCTGAACACATCGCGTTCGGCGGCCGGTTCGGCGGCTCGGAGCGGAACGGTCCCCAAGGGGCGGGTCGATGGACTGGAGCAGAAAAGAGATCGGGTCGATGGGGCAGAGCAATCCTGGATTCTCCTAGACGTCACTTATACCGTTCTATAGTTCCAAACCTGGTTGCTCATGGAATCGTCTATGTATATTGGCAAAGAACCTCAGAAAGTCCTTATTGGGCCGGGCCGTCTGACACGTTCATTCATGGTCAATGCCTTGGATCGTTGCGGCTCTTGATGGGAACCAATCAACTTGGATCATTCGTTTGAGTTCCGGAACTACTCATGTCCATCCAATGGGCGGCTGCCAGACTCCTGCCAGACTCGCATCCTCAGCTTTCCTCAGGCCTTCCTCCAGCGTCTTTAGCTGCAGAACAAAACACGTTTCCGTTCGTTCGTGCCGCCCAGTTCCTGCTTTGCTCCACGGAGCGGACGCAGACGCGGACGCGGCCGCTGCCGGTGTTCGGTGGCTCCATTCGAAGCACCGCTGACACCGTGCATCCGATGCACCGTGGACCCAAAGCCCAGGCTTTCGGGCAAGGGATCAAGGACCTGCCAAATCATGGGGAAGTGTGTCTAAGTAGGAAGTAGGAAGTGTGCTTTTTTCTCTGAGTGCTGCATGGAGTGATTACTATTTGCTGAACACTGTACTTCGAAGGTCATCTAAATTGAATAAACAGTTGGAGGCCATCGCTAGTAGGTTGGAGGCCACCGCTCCATCGCTAGTAGGTTGACAAACTGATAGCAAAGGTGATAGAAGAACCTGCAACGAACTCCGATGTGTTTCTCCTGGAAACCACTGAGAAACTCCGGAACACCTATAGCACGGGAGATTCATTTGAACTCCCGTCTGTTTGGTACTCCTGGGTGAGAAAAAACGAGCAAAAACCAGAGCCAAACGGATCATGCGGCCATGGCGGGCAAAATACATGGCACAAGTCGTTGCGTTGCTACAGCAGCTAATGTGGTCGCTTCCATCTTCTTATAAGCAGCTAAGCAGTGTGCCTTCTTCATGAAACGTTCGACCGATCTTGTGGGGAACCAGCACCTGAAGATCTGAGGACTCCTGAGGTCCTCCATATCACTAGGCATGCCATGCCGCAGAGTGAGAGCTTATCCTCCAGCTGCGGAGTCTGCAGCGGAGGTCGGACTACATGGTCCTGCTGCCTGCTCTCTTAAAAACTGGCAAGTGGTCAGCCAGTCACCAATTATCTGGCAAAAACAGGTGCAAGTAGGCGCAACGTTCCTCTGGTTTCAATCATGTTCAACCAACTTTGAGTCAACCCACCACCACGTCTAGTCCTTTCAGAGCTCACTAACAACATCGAACCACCTTCCCAAACCAGAAGAATTCCACCTGATCGTCATCCTTCGCCTCTCAAACACGAGAGCTCATCGGTTCATCGACATCATCATTTTGCATTTGACGATCCACGTCGACCACCGTCACCGGCTCCTCCTCCTCCACTACCGGCTTCAATGAACCCTCCACCGGACCATCCACCGATGGAGGCTCCTCCGGTGGGGGACGCACCTGGCGGTGCCCCATGGCACGGCGGTGTGTGGCACCGCCGTGCCGGACGAAAAGGACGAAAAGCAGTGCATGACCCCAGACACTCCATGTATGTCACAGACCTAGATCTTCCACCTGTCAAATGTCGGCCTTCTGGCTGGTGTTGATGGATGAAAAGGCACAACTGCACAGTTGGAAGGGTGGATCGGTGGATGCCGGCTTCTCCGGCAAAGAGGTTTCCTCCTTTCTCCCGTTCTTGGGGGGGCTGGGTAATATAGTGTTGAAGCGAATGGGGACCTTTGTTCTTAGGTGCATCACTCAGGTCCGAAGAGAAAAGACATACTATAGGAGCAAAGGGCATCGCTACGAACGGAGCGATCGGACGCTACTAGGGGCTCCTGGCCAGTAACAAGGACGCTACTAGTAACAAAGGGCATCGCTACTAGTAACAAGAAGCCACTAAGAAGCTAAAAACATGTAAAAACCACTCTGATGACAACTCCCTGCATTCCCCATGGTGGCCCAAATGTCATCGCTTTTCCTGCTTTCTTCACTTTTTCGCCGGTTCTGTGACGTGGATGCGTGGCCCCGAAAGGAAGACGACTTTTCCTCACCAAACAAAGGGTTCTCACTCCACTATACTCAACTTACTTGTGTGTTCACTGTGTGTTCGTCAAAAGTGCAATCCCTTCTCTCTCCCCAAGGGCTACACGCAGCAGCCTTCTGGTAGATCAACTCTCCCAAGTAGCAGCAGCCACCCACCACCTGGGCGTTTTCGCCATCCGGCGTGGACCGATCGGACCACGGCGTGGACCTGGTTCCGGGTTGGACATGGGAATTCAATCAGATCAGTGGTCTACATGTTGGGTCCGATGTCTTCGAAGACCAGCAGTTCCTTTCAGGAATGGTTCTTAGAGTTATACTGTACTATGTAGCCTGTCTTAGAGTTATACTGCACAATGTAGCAGCCTGTGTAGTGTATCTTTATATATGACTGGATCATGGGCACACCGAACTCCGCGTCACAAAGGGGTGGTGTTTGGTCCCTAAGTGAGTGGATAATGGGCACTCCGAACCTCCATGGGTAGCACCCCTGCTAGTGACTGCTGGTACTAGCTTCTTGCTAGTGGCCGAATCCGGGGTTTCCCCGCTTGGTGTCCGAATCCAACACCGAAGCTTGCGCTTCACCACTGGGGAGGAACGAAGAACGACGAAGTGGTGACCTCCATTGTTCCCATTGTAAAGGATCCAAGCCTGATCCCAAGTCCAGCTGATTCATTGAGAGCAAAGTATACCAAAAAGATCAAAAAAAGCACGCAGTCAGAACGACCTTGCAAAAGGGCGAGAGAAACAAGAAGGAAAGCATGCAGAACAAGTACAACCTGCCTCAGGGGATCTGCGTTTCTTGGTCTATGAGATACCATGAGATACCAGACCTCACCCATAATAATTATCAGCCGTTCCCATCCCACGTGACACTGAAAAAGCATAGACCAGGCCAGGTGCTGCAATGAACAAGCCGATGAAGATGGCGCCTGAGATGTCACCTGGAGGCGGGTCCCGCGCTATTTCTTCGGATGCAGCGGAAGAACCAGCGACTCAGCGCCGTCGCCAACGCACCCCGCGCGGTTTTCTGCTCCCATCGTCCGCGCGGGATGCACCGACCGCCCGCTCAAAGGTATAGACGATATGTCATGGATCTTCCAACGGCACCATATATGTTTGCCGTGGAGGCATCGTCCGCTCGGGATGAAAGGAGCTCGCCATCCAAAGAAACAAACAAAAACCATGCCGTCTATATTAGGGACGTTGCAAAACATCTGCTCCCACTCGGACATTCGTTTGGGTCACCTCTGCCGCCCCACTCCACTCTCTGGAGGAACGGTCCTCTCAGCACCTCTCAGCACCTGCATCCAGCCAGATCCAGCCCGAGCTTCCGCACCCAATTCGAGGCCGGAGGATTCATCACGAGTGCTCACCGCCTCGCATTGACTGACCTGGTCGACCGTTCGACGTCACGTCACTGTCACGTCCGTGTCACGGTCACTTCTCTCGGAGAAGTCATCAGCACCGTGGATGGTCCGAGAGCTTTTCGGATGACCAGATGGAGAGCTTTTCGAAGAACCGTCTCAGGTGGTTTCACTCACTCCCCCCACGTAACCATGCATGATTCGCTTTGGAGGACCAACTCCCAAAGGCCCCAGGCCGTTCGATCTCGGGGTCTGCTGCCAGGCCACTGGCTTGAGGTCTGCGTTCACCCTGGCATGGCCGGCATGGTGACAGAGAAATGTCTTGAGCATCCTTTGTTGGATGCTGTCCAGGATCATCCGATCATCCGGCCACTGGGTCACCTGGCTTACGGAAAAATAGGACTACCCTGCACTACGTACGTCTGGACCTCCAGCCAGGACACCCCAAAAAAATGAATCCTGGTTCTTTGTTTTTGCAACAAAGTATGTTTCCCAGACACTCCATGTCTGTCGTATATGCTTACATTGACCCCTCAAACCACCCCGCTGTAGGTAAATATGGCAGTCTGGAGTGTTTGGGTTTGGTTTGGTCAATGTTAAAGGAGGAAATGATCGGTAAAGATTGGACTTCGTCTATTCTTAGGTCCGACGGTAGAGCACTCTGACCCCAAATGTCAATGTTCAGCCGGAAACTGAGGGGTATACAAGCATACAGATGCATATATGGGGATACCGTAGAATTACTGACTCACTCAACTGACGGCATGAATGGCATGGTCCTAAAGGAAGATGACTTTCCGAAGGCGAACAGGGGGTGAACTCAGTCCCTCACTCGAACTCCACTCCACTTCTATGTGAACTTCGACTTCGAGTGTGGCGTTCTCAGCTCGTCGTCTTCCGCCGCTCGGACCGGCCTATCGGTCAAATCCTGGAACATGCCAGACGCCCAGGCCTGGGAGCGCGAGCGCTCAACGCGGGCGGGGTGCCAGGAGCGACCTGGGTTGGTCCTAGTCCAGCCAGGACACCCAAAGGGTCAAATAGGGTCGGAGGGTGGTGTTGAGTGGCCATTTGTGCCAGGTGTTCGCCATCGATTCGTCTGCTTCGCCAGGTTTTAGCAAGAAAGGATATGCTTCTTCCCAATTGACCGGTCGCCGGACAACCCGTCGGTGGTTCTTTTGGGAGTTGAGCTCCACTCCGGAAGCACCGCGCCCTCGGCAGCCTCCCCGTCCAGGAAGCCGCTGCTGCGATACCGCTCGCGGCTTGCGCACCGCGAAAACGGCGCGCGACGGTCGGGACTGAAAAGGCCGCTCACCTTCACAAAGGCCCAGGAGAGAGGGTGTTGCATCTTCTTTCCTTGGAGACTCGATCTCGGCGACCACTGGATTCGAGGTCTAAAACCGTGGGACCTCGGGCCGTGTGCAAACAGCTTGGAGCTTGGTGACGATGCATATATGTGTTTTTTTCCTGAGTACTGGGGTCTAATATGGTGTCATCGATTGTCATCGTCTTCTTTCTTCTCCTTCTGATTCTCTTCCTTCTCTTCCTTCATCATCTTCCTACTTCTTTTCTCTCAAACGTGCGCCAAATTCTTGCGCATCGCCCCACAGGTGGTGCTTCCGGTGCTTTTGACGGTCTGCCAGCAGGTCGATGTATGACAGAAGACCTACTGGATCTACGTTCTGCACATGAATTGAATTTCAGACTGCTGTCTGGTACATCAATCAATCACCTCATTGCATCATTGCACCAAAAAAAGCCACCAAGACTCGAATTGGGAAGGCCAAAGGCACGTTCCACAAGACCTTCCCCACCTGCCACGAAGCGAGCGGTATCGCGGCCGCCACACCCGGACCGGCGCGCACCGAGACGATCCGTGGGATCACGACCTGCCTGTGCCTGGACCCCCAGTTGGCGTGGTAGACATGGACACCCATAGACGCCCCAAACGGAGGGTCCTGGTGAATGCATTTGACATCGTCCGATCATCCGGCCACTGGGTCACCTGGCTTACGAAGAGGAACTATAGGACTACCCTGCACTACGTACGTCTGGACCTCCAGCCAGGACACCAAACAAGATTATCCTATAGGTAATTACATTGACTCCAATGTTTAACTGTATCATACATCTTTGGCAATCTTTGGAGGAATATGCCAGTCCCATGGAGTGTCTGGGAATAGCATCTAACTTTCACATCGATCGAAAGCTTCAGGCGTCGCGCAACCAACCCACAATGGCGCCAGCAAGTTGTCCATGTCGACCACCAATTCAGCGATCTGATCTCGTCACTTGCAGACCCCCTGAAACGAACAACCGATGATGAAGAACTACCCAGCCTGGAAGTCACTCGAGAACTCCCCCAAAAGGAATGTTCACCCTTTTCGGTACATCTGACATGACCATGCATTGCACGATGACCAGCACTGTATAATACAATTCCGATCATCCCAAACATCCTCCGACACCAACGCGCCCGAAAACTTTCACGACTCTTTCCCCGCGCGCGTCGCTCGCGGCGCATCCTCCCGCGGCATCCGCGGCCTCCATGAGGTCGCAGTCGCTGCGCTTCTGCCCACCGAGGCCCACGTTCCAGTTGGGCCGCCCCTGCCCCGACGGGGGCCGGAACGAGACTCGAGACCCCGGTTCTGAGACCGGTGTTCGAACACCGGCTGAGACCCCCGCGGCGGAACCGGCAAGTGCTTGGAGCGAACAAAAGGATGGGCTTTGTTCAGAACGTTTCACGCAGAAGACCTGGACCCGACTTCGTTCGTAGAACATGGGACGTCTGACCCTATAAAAACAGGTGTACCCATTTTCTGAAGTACTTTGAAACTGCAGAAGGATCGGTGCGTTTGGTTTGGGGTTCCTTCAGAACCCCGAAGATCGCTGGGGCTCCCGCCGTTGGAACGGTCGGAGCTGACTCTATAGTCATAGCCCGTCGATGGTCCACACGACGGACGTCGATTCGCGTCCTTGTGGTATATAGTAAGGCCAGGAGCTAGGTTCCTAGCTTCTTGCTCCTATCTAGGGATGCCCTGTGTTACTAGTAGCGTCCTGTAGGTCAAAATGGTTCGAATGAACTACACTCAGCAATCGGTCTTTACACTCAAGGTTTGATTGCTTGTGTCGGATTATTCTTTCTCCCAATTTCACGCTTAAAGTTGAGACGATCTGAAACAAACCAATTCTTTAGACCCTGCCCTGGTCCGGTCAAAGAGTCCAAAATTTCCGTCGACTTCATGAACAGCCCCCGGACCGAGTTGATCATACCAAGTTCACATATCCGACATATCCTCATATTAGAGGTTTTGCAGGACCAGGTTGGGACCTGGCTCAGACTGGACCTGTATAGGGATTGGGACGTCCCATGTGTTTATCTCTTCTACAGCCGCGTGGCCGCTGGTGTGTGGCTTCATGAACGGCTCCACCGTGACCAACGGACCGGTCCTCCGGACCGAACGAACCAATGTCAGGCTGCTCCGGACGGTTCCCACGACATGTTCAGCTCCCACATCACATGAGCTCCCCACGTCCGTCACGTCCGTTCGTTCCTTGCTTCACCCGAACCGCTTCGAACCACCGAAGCACCGAAGCAACCCACGGACCCACGGGCGGACCTTCGCCTCGTCGGCTTTGGCCACATTCCCGGCCTTCCTGGGAACCGAGCGAATGTTCGGGAAGAACCGAGCGAAGGTTCGACCTGGTCTCTGAAAAGCTGGTCTTCTGGACCAGCCACTTAGTCACTTAAACCAACCAAAAGTTAAACCAGCCATAAGTTGATGTCACATCAAGTTGCCATAAACCAGCCACCTCTGGGGCTCCTTTAAGGCCAATCGCGGCCGGCGAATCGTCGGGGACGGTGTCGAAGGTCATGGACCTCTGACCCGTGTCTTGGGCGTAACCCTGAGGAAGTGGCTTTCAAACAAACACGGTATCCAAACACTCCAGGAATGGAACATCGTATCCTTTGGGTCTATGCTATTACCTGTAACAGTGGATGGTGATGGTTAGTAGAGGCCTTGTCCAAAAGTAGTGATCATTGTTTACTGGCTGTTCCAGGGGACAGACCCAAAGTATCCTTACAATGGAATACCGATATATACATTACACAAGTTTTACCTAGTATCCTGCAGTAAAACCTGGTCCTGAAAACCTGATCGAGTAGTGTTTCTTGGTAAAATGAGGTCAAACTTACCTGTAGGGCAATTATAGGGGTGTTTGAACAGGTGTCATGCAGGTCTGCAATGGCAGTGTGCTCTATAGACCCAGAAAAATGGCCTCTGAGACGGTGATTGGACACACTTTAATAAACAATTGGAGGGTGGAGTCGTACCTTGTGAAAAAATGGTACGTGAACAGATATACAGATCCATGGACTGGTCCATAGGGGCCTGAAGGGTGTCGGTCCACAACGAACTGGTCATCTGTGGAATCCCTGAAAGGGTCATGAGTCATGCCTTCTCCAAAGCTGATCCATCTGAAGCCTCTGCCTTCTCAGTGACATGGGTTTGGTAGGAAGAAACCCTATCACTGTCAAAGTACTGCTGCTTTCAGGCTTCGACCATTGATTGTTCATGGTCTATGAGGTGCGTCTCTGGCCTTTTTGGTGTTTCGAGGACCGGGGAAAGTTCCCAAACTTGATAAAAGGGACACCAAGGGAGCTTGAAAGAAGCACTTCCAAGCTTGAAACACCCAAACACAACACATGGGACTGGCAAATGTGTTTTCCTATTTAAACTCCTTTTCAGGGGATTCCACCACCCCAATGTAGGCCCTGGGATTCCAACAACCATTGTTCTACCTAAGCATCATTGGACCGTTGACCCTACATAGCAGGGGTTTGGGCCCCTCAAAACCTTCACCTTTGATGGTCTTTACTGAGTCTTTACTGCATTGTTTTGCTAAATCCGGGTCAACCTTTCTTTTCATGGTCTTGGAAGGCTAGGGCTTTTTTCCATCTGCCGTCCAGATCCGGTCACTCGAGAGCTGGGTTTGGGGTGCACCCGACCCCGGTGACCAACCGAGACGAGACCCGCTGCGACCGGGTTGACGCGGACGCGCCGAACCCAACCCACCACGATCCGTCCCCCAAATCCGCGGGGGTTTGGCAAAACGACGCGTGGTAGACCTCAGAGTCTACGTCAAAAAAACGACGAAGGCACATGGAGTTGATGAAGTCTTGCGACTGGATCAAAGCACCGCAAATGTCGTTGTAGATCTCATAGGGCCCGGAGTCATAGGGGATTCCCACGTAGTGATCGTAGCTGTAGACCGTTTCTCAGCGAGAAAACGGAAAGGGCTCGTGGTGGTTTTGAAAAGCCGGGATGACATGAGACAAGGGTGCCTTGTGGCTTTTCGGGCCAGAAACTGGCATAGTCTTGACTACTTTTGGGTGGAAGATGATGAATTGGCCAGAAAAACTTGCGACCAACGATTGGATCCATCTGAATCCGTGAAACACTGCTGGGCGTGAAGGACGCGGCGGCGGAAGCGCACGGCATCAACGGACCGTCGGCTTCACCCAGCGACTCCAGGTCGACTCCAGGTCAATGATCTGTGTCTAGATCTTCCCCCCACCCTCCCGGCCTTGCGCGGTCCACCGACCCAACCTGACCGACCCACGGTCCCACCCGTCCCAACACCAACGATCCACGCAGCACGACGTCGCGCCCACTCCCCGCGCGACGTTGCCAGCTTAACCGGTCGAGACGCCGAAGACCTCCTTGAGGACGCTCGGCACGCAGATCTTGACGGGAGGGTCCTCTGCGTCTTTTGGTGCTTCACGGTGCTGGTTCCCGGCGATGCGCGCGCCGCGCAACGCGGGGTGAGCCTGGTAGTTGGAGGGCTTGCAGGGCTGTCTGATTGAAAAGAAAGAAGTAGAACCATCCAGCAACATAGAGTTCAGATGGTTTATAGACACCCTTGACTCCTTGACTATGTATTTTCCCTCCACTCTCCAGACTTTCCATGGTGGGCAGAGATGTCTGCCCTATCCTCGGTAGAGGTGCCTTGGTCCGTGCTTTGGCGGCCTTATCCCATGTAGGCGTTCTTGTTCTTTGGGGGCAATGCTCAAATAGATAAGGATCCAGGCACCACTGGTTCCAGGGACTTGCACAGTGATGAAGCACAATCTTTTTCCAGGAATTCAACTGATGATTCACTGTTGCATGTTTTGCAGGTTACTATACTAGTTTCTATGCTGTGCTTCTTTGGCTTAGTGTTTTTGCATAGGTGTTTCCCCAGTCACTTAGTAAATGTTCTTGACAGGTTACTTAGTGGTTCTTGCCGGTTACTTTGGCATTCTTACCCCTCCTCACTACAATCAGTAGCTTGGGTTGACCAAGGACTCGTAGCCTTTTTGGGGGAGTGGAGTGAGTGACATGAAGGTCAAATACTCTAAAACAGGACCGGAGACTAGCATCAGGTGGCAAGCGTTCGTTCTTCACCATCAGACATGCCTCCGACACCATGTTTGACCACGCGAACCAAGGTGGACACACATGACACGCTCACGAGGGTTGGAGTGGACACACCCGGAGGGTTCCCGGTCGGTTCCCCCGGTGAGACCGGTCCTGCTGCATCGCCTCCGTCAAATCCGCCAACGTCCCTTGAGCTTCCGCCTGGACCACCAGCTCCGTGGTGAGACCTTCGGCGGCGACGCAAGGACTCAGACCGCCACCCGTGCGCCAAGCCGTTACCGTCACCCGGGCTGGCAGCGTCCCGGCATTGCCGTGATGCAGGTTGTGTCCTCAAATATGCGTGGGTACACAAGGACGTCCGAGTGATCCACCCTCAATCCCTAGCAAAACGGATCTTCACTGGAACTCGATGAATGGGAGAAGGCTGGGGATTTTTGGGGGGGAAGTCAAGTCGATGGAGATGGATTCTGGGAGGGCAAAAGGTGTCCGTTCTTATAACAAAAAGTAAGCACACCAGTGATCACAAGTGCACAGGGGTGGACCTTGAAAAAAAAAATGAACTCCGAACAAGATGTGCCAAAAGTTGGGTCTTGTGAGGCGTTCGTGCCACCGTGCCGGGTCGTGACACGCACGACCCGTCAAACCGATCTCGGAACCACTGTCAGTTGGCGATGTCAACGAAAGATTTGCCTTTGGCAACATGGAAAAGCCAGCGTGAAAGTGGGATGGAGGTGCAGACTTGGTTGAAAACAAGTACTGTTTGGGTTTGCGTCATAGCTAAACATATAATAGTATTGACAGTCCCTAATTGATCTTCAAACACGTAGACCGGACTTGCCACCAGCATTTGCTTCTCCAAAAGGACGACCTCGCCACCCTCCCTGCATCGACCTCGCCCAAGCGGCTGGCAGTGTAGCTTGCAATGATCACCAGGATGAAAAAGGCGAAGCTCCTGGGCCCGGGGACCTCTCGGACCTCTAGGGCTGGGTCTGAGTAGGCGTCATCTGTCTGATCAGGCGGTGAGAACTCGATGTCGAATTCAAAGAACATGTCCGATGATTCGATCCCGTATCCTTGTGTATCTGTATGTGTCCTTTGTGTGTGTTAAAGGTTTTGCTTTAATATAGTTTTAACAAAATTAATGCATGTCTTTAATGTATGTTTGCTGCTATTGGCAGGAGCCTGTAGTCAAAGTGACATGGCAAAAGCTAGTGAAGGGATGGGGACGAGCTTTGCTTCATGTAAAAATGGTCCCCAAACCCTGGAACTGCTTCTGATTGGTGAAACAACCACTGTTAAGTGCAGCTTTGATTCAAGGACCAAGCGATTTTTGCGAGAAATGTCTCAACGTTCCTGAACGACCCCCCAAAACCATCCAAAAACCGGACCGCCGATCTGGATCCCCATCAAGCAATTGAAAAAACGCCAAACGAACCGACGGGTGGGGCCCAAATGGTTCTCAGACTTCGCAGGACCATGGCTCAAATGGAGCATCTTGTGGATCATGGTCTGCTCGACCTCGATGTTGCCTCCAGCTGCAGTGACGTGAGCAGGTGTCCGACTGCTCCCACGGAGAAGCCCCACGAGCACGCGGCAAACGCGAGGAAAAAGGGGACTGGCATCATATGATTTACCATGTATCACATTGATACATTGATCCCTCTGATCAACCACCCCCATGTATTCTATGCCAGTCTCATGAACCCTCTCTTTTGATAGAGTCGATATCTAAAATCAACAAGTGGCCTCATCACTAAAGATCCCAAGTTGGGTCACTTTCGGTCGGTCTTGCCGCCTGTACAGCTGCACCACTCGGACCGTTGTTCTGCCTTCCTGCACTGCATCTTCGATCCTCAAAAGAGATCCTCAAAAGAGATCCTCTCGTCTCTCTGGCATGGATCCCGTCCGAGATCCACCTCCACCCAGCAGGAAGTCGTGCCAAATATGCCACTGAAGTCGAAGGAACTCGCCCTGCCGACCCGAGGAACATCGACCCGACAAACTCGGCCCCGTTCGGAACTCGGCCGCTCGGAACGGTGATTCCGGATTGCGGCGGAAACAGGACCGGCAGGTCATTGAACGAAGAATTCATCAACATCGGAAGGTCAAGAAACAGAGTCATGTATACTGAATTCCATTTTTAAGTGGGCAGGTGGTGACCTGTGAAGAGACCAGTGCTGGTTTGTGATGATTTGGTTCAGCACCTAGAAGGTTCATGGAAAATGCCGTTGTAAAAATATGCTGTTCACTTGCCTTTGACATCACTGTGCCCTGACATCAATTGACATCTGGTGTGTTTTCCATGGAGTTGGGTGCCGAAGGAACGGAGGTAGGTATCGCGTCGCGGTGGTCACGGTGCTGTCACATCCGGATGGGAAGAGCCAAACCATGGAATGGATGGAAGTGCTGTATAGATCAAATTAGACAAACTATGGCAAAACTGCCCAATGAGACCATTTTCGCCCAATGAAACCCTTTGGACCTTGGGGTTAGCGGACTGTCTTGGCGTCACGTCCCTTGCGACTTGACCAACGACACGAGAGTCCCTTGTTGCCTTCACTGACCCGAGGACCCGGCCCCAGGCCTGGGGTGGATTTCGGTGTCAACTGATCGGCAGTCCTATGACAGTCCCATGGGTCGTGTCTGGGTTAAGACAGAATGGGATGCAAACAGGTGGTGAACTGCAGGGGTTCCTCCTTTTCTCTGGTCGCTTCACTTCCTAGTGTTGCACGTCCACCGCTTGCTTCGCCACGCCCGGTGCAGAAGTCTCCGAAGTCCCAGCAGCAAAGCTTTCGCTTCGCTCATAGCCGTGCTCTTTGATGTGAAGAAGCCACAGCACAAGGGCCTCAACGCCGGTGTTCTTAGGTGTTGTTCGAGGGTTCACACTGGCTCACTGATAGACAAAAGGGTTCTTCCTTAGAAACGGTTGGCATGATCTAGGGTTCCGCTTCAGATCTGCTTGTAATATTACAGTTGCTCTTGTACATCTGCAGGTCTGGTCGTCTGGTCGTCTAGACTGGTCGTCTGGTTTCAGCGGTTTCAGTACTAGACTTGCTATCCTACATGTGCAAGCAGGAGATTGTAGATTGCCTTGTGTTGCTTGGCTGGTGGGTTTTCCGATGTAACTTTTGCTGGGGCAAACACTTCAGCAAACACTTCTGCCAACTCACGTGTCTGAGGAACCGTCTGCGTGCCACCTCTCAACGCTTGATCATCGTCTTTCCGTTCGCCGGCGGAGTGCGGACGACGGGCGAACGAGCGCTTCGCATGAGGCGCGACCCTCTGCGGAGATCTCGATGTGCTCGAGGAAAACTTCGGAGATGGTCAAATGCCGGATGCTCAAGGCCGGTGAGGATGACATGCGTCTTGACACCGGTGAACCCTGACGTCAGCGGAGACGGTCACAAGTGTGATGCTGTCGTCCGAAATGGCAGATCAAGCTGGAAGTTGCCAACCTTTGCAACTCAACATGGAAGTTGCCAAAGTGTGGACCTGTCACAGACAGGGAAGGCACAGCTGTGCTTGTCAGCATTTGCCGGTTGAGGCTATGCGTTTGTGCAAAACACAGCCGCATGCGTCACCACACGAGAAAGGCCATGCTGCATACCCCCTAGAAGTCAAAGACTATAAAAAGAATGGTCTTTAGGGGACCTGAAAGGGAGCTTCCTTTACTTCAGCCAGTCAAAATATAGTCTTTGGACTTCTAGGGTACCCATTACAACTGATTACAGTACATCATCATTATCATCATCATCATCACGTTTCCTGCTGTCTACGTTGCATTCAACGTAGCATTCTACCTGCTTGGCTCCATAGAGCAGTTTCTGTTGCATGTTCGACGTACGTTCTGCGGAGTAGCATCCGAAATTGCATTCTTAAGTCGCATTCTAGGTAGGATTCAAAGACTCATTCACACATTCGAGTATTCTAGGCAACACACTATGTCGCATTCGCGCGGCGTGTCAATTGATGTTGCCACGTCGCATTCTCAGTCTTTACCGATCCCTTGAGCTAAAAACTACACCACCGCGCGACGTTCCTAGAGCTCGACTCTGTCTGTGCATTCCACGTCCGCGCCACCGAGACTTGATTCTTCGGTCTCGCTTCGAAAGGCGAAGCAGCTCGGATTGACGCGCAAAAAGATTCACCGGGATTCTACAAACACCTGGGATCACTTCATGCCTGTGAAATCGAATCGAGCTTTGGCCGCGATCCATTGCTGCTCGAATTACATGTGCAGCCTGGGGAAGCAGTGTATCGAGTGTATCGTTTATGGTAGTTTGAAGGCGCAGCCTGGACGACATCAAGGAAAGGATATCAACGTCGTTGTGACCGCATGCATGGCCTCCACATCCACATCCACACCTTCATCTTGGCCTGCTCACTTTGAAGACGGCAGGACCACAAGCGTGTCACTGTCTTGTCACTGCGTGGACCTGGAGGACGACATCTGTGCATCTCACGCCTGTGGGTCTTGCACAAGCTCTCTGCGTGCTCACGAGCTCTCTGCACTCATCGCCATCGGTCACCTCTCTCCACGGATAGATGCTACAGACATAGTACTACTGTTTCTGTGCAATATGTATACCCTATAGAAGTCCAAAGACTATATGTTGATCGACTGAAGTAAAGGAAATTCCTAGACTCGGGTCACCTAACAAGACCATTCTTTTTATAGTCTTTGACTCCCAGGGTACATAGCCGAGCATATGTGTGTGTGATCCATATGTCTATCTGGGCTGTGCGCAACGCCATACTGGCGGATTCTGTGTGCGGACTCAGAGTTTGGATTTCTGTCCCAGCGGAGTGGGCTTCCTGTAGTTACGTGCCGGCCAAAGAGAAATCTTCCGTGCGTCTGTTTCTGACGTCGTTTTTTCTAAGTCTCTCAGCCTTGCAGCACTCATTTATGCTCTGCCTACCAGGTACTTGTAGACACTGTGCCAATGTCTAAAAAAATGCGTCATCCACACGGACACGTGACACGCATACAAAACATTGAACACTAAACACCAACAGAAATTGGGCCATGCGTATCTTTCAACGCCAATCCGCTCCATGCGTCGGATCCAAGAGTCCCTCGGGTGGGTGATTCATCCAAGAGTCGTGTCCGTACAAATCTTCACGTCCGGGATGTTCGCAGCTCCAAAAGAAACCAACCCATCCGTTCGCACCCCGACGTGATGTCCCAACCACCCGTTCATCCCATTCGACACGCATGACGCATGTCTCTGTTTCTCCGTTCGCACCCCATGAAAGACCACACCCCGAAGCTCTCTGTCGATACTCCCAGAAGCTCTCGCCCCCCCACACCGACCGCTCTCCCAACCGCGGGTTTATGAAAACGTGTGGAAAACCACGCGGCCAGGCCGAAGAGAAAGGCGGCGATGCCCAGCCAAGCGCCGATGGAGAAAGGGAGGAAGGGCTTCGTCAAGCCTCACTGAGCTGCAGAGTCTGACTGCACTTTGAGTATCTTTGAGAACTCAGCTTCTTCTCCTTCGGATGGGGGGGGAACATGGCGAAGCCACTGAAAAAGGCATGCCGGGCCGGAAGGGCAAGAAGAATCTGGGCGTTCTTGAGGGAAGAATGAGATCATGCGATGAAAAGCCAACTTGAAATGGTGGTTGGAATTGTTTTCGGAAGAATGTTGCGACGGTACACACTTGAGAAGATAGCCTTGAACTATGCCTGAACACCTTCCTTCCGAACTCGGCGATACCTCAACGGCGTTCACTCGGCGAACTCGTGTGCTTCTTCCTGCCGATTTGGTGGACGATGGCGGATGCTGCAGAACCACCTGTGTCAATGAGGGCGACCTAGTCGAACAGTTGACCACTGGCGTCCTTTGAGCGTCCGGTTTCGAAACGAAGACAGAAACACGGGTACGTTTCAGGAGGCATCACTTGCAAACTCACAAAGTACCCGCAAGATTCCATGTGGTGCTATTATTTCAGATCATACATGCACATGAAATGGGTGCCCACTGGAGACCTATAAGTAGTGTAGGGTTGTCCATTGGTGACCCGTTGGAAGCAGCTTGAGACCGGATGACCCCACGGTCCGTGATCTATCGCCATGGCACGGGTCATGAAGGTGGCTTCCACGATCTTCCTCAAAGCTGCCAGGGTGGTTCCCAACACCATAGGAGTCCAACCACAATCAATTCAATATATAGACTTGCCGAATAACAATTGTTTTATCAAAGTGTTTACACTAGAGAACCAGGTCAACCATTTGTCAAATGATCTTTGAAGGCTAGCGAACAGATCACGGTAGTGGTGGTGAAAGCAGATCACGTGGAAGAACGATGCAAAGACGTCCAAATGAAACAGTGGAGATCCTGCAAGAAACAGCTCCTTGATTGACCGGACCATACCTGAGCCTTCAAACTTCAGTAACAATCATCATGACGCGTGGAATTCGGGTCACAGGTCCAATCCGCGGATAGCTCCAACAGCTCCTCACTCTCATCTCCAACAGTTCTACGGATGATCCATCGAAAGATCCCTGTCGGTTGGTGAACAGTTTCTGACTTCACAAGTTGAACAGTTTTAACAGAATGGTCGAGCTGCAGACCCCCCTGGGGGGGCCCAATGATCAAAAGAGCGTATATAGTATCATGTAAAAAGCGATTGTACAGGAAACCTGTGCATCGAAAAGGAATGAAAAAGATTTGTTGCAAAGTTTTTGAGACCTGCTCTCGTTAAACCTTGATCCGTCTGAATAAAGGTCTCTCAAATACGTCTGACTCAAGAAGACAGCAGCCCATGTGGCCTGTGTGGTTCCATCTTCTCCAGACCCACTCCAACTCTTATCATCAAACCCTGAGCCACCGCCATGTCCGACCCCAGAAAAGAAACAATCCCCACAAAAAGACGCTGCAATGTCACTCGGCTTGAATTTTGAATACACCATCGACCAGAGAGAGAGAGAGAGGAAAAAACACAGACGCTCCATGGGACTGGTATATATGCCGATCAGTTGGGGTGGTGCCAGAGGGGTCAATGTAGGCTATGGCAGTCCCATGGAGCGTCTGGGAAAAGAAACTTCGGTTTTACGAAAGAAATTGCGGATGGCCTCGGTTGAAGGTCCCCGCCTTGGCACCACCAAATAGAAGAAGTCTTGCCGGATGGCCTCGGTTCATTTCCAGCTCCCACACACCTCCACAGCTCCTCCCAGGTGGATGGTTCCCCACAAGAAGGGGATTCTGGAGAGAAAAGCTGACATAGGTCCACAACAGAGCCCAGCTGAAGAGTTGGCTGCTACTGGTTGTTCTTCCAATAATGAATCGACTAACTCCTGATCTCCCAGTTCTCCACAGATTCGTCACATGTTGGTTTGGCCCATGCCAAGGTGCTGGTGTGAAGGTGGCCAATTGGGTCCTCTCGGGTGTCACCCACAGATCCGCAATACCTGAGCGAAGCAGGAGGTTCACAATGCCAGAGCAGCAAAAAAGGAAGTATCACTTCATGTCAGGTTTGTTTGTGAATCTCCTGAGTTTTTACGTATGAAGCATCATACCATTAGAGTTTGGGCTTCGGGGACACTCTTGGAGATATGCCTGAAATCCTACGCCACAATGAACCCTAGAATCACCATCAAAAAAACGGGTTCTGCCACCCAAACTTCCAAGAGCATTCCACTTGTATTGAAACGCGGAAAAACATCGTTGAACGATCCTCTTCCAACATCTCTCCCAACCTGCGGATGAACTTTGCATTCTGCACCTGAAGTGCTCCAAGAACATTCTGTTTTGTTCCCACCATGTTTCCGCCTCCACCTGTGCCCCACATGAAAAGCACCTCACCTCTCCCCCACCTGCGCCACTCCTTCCGCCCGCCCCCAGGACGTTCCCCAGAACGTCCCACGTGCACGTCGAGGGACACACGTCGAAGTTCCCTACCGCCACGTCGTGCACGCACGCCGTGTAGGAGCTGCTGTAGAGCGCCCTGCCCCGACGGCGAGGAAAGGTACCGAGCGGTTGGGACCAAAGGGAAGGATGAAAACCGCAGAGGTGTACCGCGTGTGAAAGCGCCAATCCGCGTGTTGGAGTCTTTCGAAACAAACGCTCTAAGGCACCGCTATATACCGCTATGTTTTATTGCCGCTCCAGGACCAACACGCGTCCGGGAAGGCGTCTCGGCCTGGAGCCTGCGGTTGCCCAGCCCGGGACGATGTTGACCTCGGCGTGGGAGCGTGGGGCGCCCTCGTCCATCGAAAAATCGTGTGATCATTCAGAGCAAACTCGTCCTCAATGGATGCCACCATGGGCAAAAGCGAGCCACGTCCCCACGTCCCGACCTCACAGACCGCGACTCGACTCCGCCGTGCCGGTGGTGGTTTTCACGCCGAGGTCGGGACGGTCGGGACGTTGGGCTCAATGAGGTTCAAGGCCGCGATGAAGAAGTCGTAGCTGGCACCACCTGGGCGGAACCCGTGGTCCGTGGTCCACTTGGTGCCGGTGCCGGAGTTCTGAAAGAAAAAATGGCAAAACGATGCCGCAAGGTGTGAAGGAAAAGTGAAACATGGAGTGATGATGTGAAGGATGGTGTGAGATGCAAGAACATGGGGTGTCTTTATCAACCAAAAGGGTAGGGGAGGGATGAATTCTATCATGTCCAACACCCTTATGAACTATACCAGGAAATTCCAACAGGTTTTTGGGACACCACGACATCTCCCCTAAGAGGTCATTTATAGACACGACACTTCAAACGGAGCGTGCTGTCCATGTCCACCACCCAAATGAAGCCCAACCGCTGCGCCGAAAAAGAGAAACCCAGTAGCTTTGATGGCGCACCACACGCACCAAGTGCTCCGCCCCACCGTCGATTCGACCCCCGTGCCCAAATGATCCATGGTGGCGAAAAAATATACAGTATCGCCTTTAGATGACTGGTTTGGGGTGTTCGTCCGGTCATCCATGTCCACGCCACCGGATGGGGCGTGGCAACACCCTCGATCGTGGCATTTGGCCATCGAGGGATCGATCGAAGCGGAGCTTCCGGTCGAAGAGGGGCCGGAGGCATTGGTTGGCCCCTCTTTGGTTCCGAGGCGCCATAGCCACTGGGGAAGCTTGGACCTGAAGCCATCGGACAACGGCCAGTTTGGGAGGTGTGGGGAGTTGTTTGTTCAAAAGGAATCCCAGCAACTCGGGGAACGCCTGGCGTTGAAAGGATAATACTGTAAGATATATAGTAGGAGTTATAGTAGGATATCGCAAACCAGTGGTTGTATCTGAGTCTGTGTACCAGTGAAAACCTGGGATTGGCGATCAGGCAATGTCTTTGTAGTGGGCCCGGGCATGGGCATGTTGGCCTGAAGTATCCAGTCCTATACCAGACAGGTCTGCTGGCCCTATGCACCAATGAATGATATATATAGCTGGGGACATTGAAACGGACACCAAGAGGAGTCACAGAAGCCATAATGTTAGGTGGGGTAGATCCAAAATTTGGGGACGTTCTGGTCGAACCCCCTCGTGTGTTTTCAACACAGCACTCTCACAAAAGGTCGATTCTCCGTCTCGGCCTCAAGACTTTGCTATGAATTACATATATTATATATATATATATCATATATTATATACATTATATGTTTTATATATATATATATGCTACCCCCCACCAATACACACCTTTTGCGATACATTCCAATTCATTTTGTTAGTAGATGTTAGTAGTATCTAATGCAATTTGCAATTGCAAATATAGTAATTCACGGATATAATTGATCATGTGAATTTCAAAATTGTCAACTCAATTTGTTACATTGGACTTGCAATTCTAAGTATGAATCTCATGGTGCACAAGTGTGAAGACCCCACAGAAAGAAACATACCAATTTACAGAAGAAATTGTGTGCATGACAATGACCAATATTTTTTGTGAGCACTCCAGTTCATACTGTCAGTTGCACCCAGTGCAAATGCACGTATGATAATTGATGAATACAACTGATTATATGAGTTGTTAGTCTTTTTGTTACACTGTGACATTACATTTAAACAACTCGAATTTGGAATTTAAGATTCTATATTTGTGACAGTCACAAACATTGGGTTTGCGCAACTGGAACATTGACCTGCATGCTTTATAATTGTGAATATCACAGGGTAACACATAAATTTACCGAACTATTTGTGTGCATGACAATTGATCATATCATAGCAATATTCCAGTCTGATATGATTGTATAAAATGATTTGGTTTGCCCATCACTCAAGTCAAATCGTCTTCATGGATCGTGAAGGCATCACTCTTCACTGAATGGGCCTTAATATCATTTTCTGAAAGTGTATTCTATCCTTCATACATTGAACAGTTATGATATTTAAGTAGCAACCCTTTTATATCTCTAAACCCATTGACTAATATATGTCTATTGGTGGTGTTTAAGATGTAATGGATATTGCATGTTTGTTTCTTATTCTTGTTCTATTTCTCTGGCAACGGCATGCCTCCCTCAAAGTGTTAAAACAGTAAACTCTTCTGTGCGGTGTCGTGTGATTTTTATAGCATTCCAAAGGTGATGTTTCCTAATTGTTTTTTGTCATCTTTAGTAAGATCGGTTTCCCACAGTTCATTAACAAGCTGGTCATAATTGACCTTATGAATGCATGAAGGAGTTTTATAACAAAATCTGTTTTCATTGTTTGCTTGCAACAGTTTTCTTAAAAACTTTCCAAATATCAAAGAAAACTGTATACAGTGTATACAATGTAAAACTAGATAATTTGCTAATGTCAACGTCATCACTGTTACAATGTTTCCAACTATTGAAAACCGGTATGAATTTAATTTGCGCAAATGCCCATGTAAAGACTTTAGTCCTGTCAATCTCTATCAGTTTTGTTGTATCAATGTGTTTATCAAAATATTCTGATGGGACTATAGTCCTACAATGTTTTATCAAAATAACCTGATGGGACTATAGTCCTACATTCATCCAATATTGCATTTGTGAAGAATGTCCTTCCGGACCCCTGGTAGCTGTGAACAAAGGATGCAAACGCCGTGGTGTGACGAAAGTCTTCCGAAATCTGCAGACATCTTTGGAAATCTTAAGATTTCTGCATATTTTTGAATAATGTTCTTGTTTGCTTCTTGTTCTCAGATATAATCTTCACCTGAGGACATGTGTACTCCCCTTTCAGTTAACTGATAGATTGTCATCCCCAAACATGGTACCACCCCTCCAGAAAGATCATGTGAAAAAAGGTCTCAAAATATCACTCAAATAAGATAAGTCCAACATATCACTAAAACACTGTAATTTACAGTATACAACACACAAAGGGTGTGTATTGGAGGGGGGGTACAATATATATATATATACAGTATATATATATATACTAGTGTGACAAAAAAAGCGACGTGCTTTCAAGACTTGGGGAATCTTTGGAACCTTACGCCTCGGCTGAAAAATGATCCATGGGTTCTGGAAGATTCCGGATATTTTCTTCGTTCCATTTCGTGCATCCTTTTTCGATGATCCAGACATCACCCCGAGAGCGAGCCCGATCGCCCGAGAGCCCGCTCGCAGCAAGCGCTGACCTGTCCGTTCCACTACCCAGGGAGTCGTGAAGTCAATGGCCGCCTCGCGAAGACGAACACACGCGACGAACGGTCGCGAACCGGACGTCGGTCGCCGCGAACACATCGACCGACGGTCTGAGCTTGGACAGTCCGAGGGTCTGAGCCACAAAACACCGTGGCTCCCCCACTGAAGAGGTCGCCAGTTTGGGGTTCTGCAGGTTTTCCTTCAGGTGTTGCAGGTGCTTGGTGGGTTTCGCATGGGTGTTGGAGACCGTCAGACTCAACCCATCGGAGAGTTCACGATTCCTGAGATGGTCTGGAATAGGATCTACAGTCCTTCCAGCCTCTCAGAAAGGATCCTTTAAGCTCGGGCACCTTCCGAGGATGAAGCTGCATGCCTTCTGACCCCGAAAAAGAAACACGTGTGACACCGAGACCAGTACGGGTGGCACTTTCTGGCACTTTCTAGTTCTTTCTCGGGAGCATTGGCAGGTTCCCTTCGAATGGAATTGGAAGCGATGGCTGACCACAAGAATCGCCTCAAAACATCCAACTTAACGCTCCCTTCTGACCGACCTTCTAATGTTTAAAAGGCATGCAGCCTCTACAACCCCTTCTTCTTCTTGCGCAGCCCTATTTCGTCACCACAACACGTTGCGCCTTTCTTTGCATGACGTTCAGAAGCGGCGGGCTCCAATTTCCGCATTCTTTTGTTTGAGCCCCCTTTTTTCACCGAACACACGATGCCCAAGCGCTCCATGGGACTGCCATATACCCCGATCAAGTGAACCCCCTGGCACCACCCCTGGCCGTTTCTCGGCAGTCCTATGGCAGTCCCATGGTGTCTAGGATCTACTCTACATTCAGACAAGCACTCCATGTTGCTTTCGGGTTGCTTTTGGTCTCCAAGCAAGACAGCATCCGAAGCATCACACGGTCAGTGCGTAGATACTGAGGTCGCCCATGGACACGCAAAGATGTGCTTCTTGGAGCACACGAGAAACGATTGAAAGGCCCGGAAATCCCTGCAATCCGTCTTTCCTCTCCCTCCAGACGCCCCAAAATCATTCTACTCCCCCAGGATCTAATAATGGGTGTCCCAAGGTCGTGGCTGGAGGTCCAGAAGTAGGGCCAGGGGCCAGTCTAGCCAGGTGACCCAGAGGAAAGGATGATCCAGAGATGAACCGCCTCACTGTCACCGCGCAGAACCCAACCCCGCCTTGAGCGAATGTCCAGAAACGTCCACGGCCAGTTGCTCAATATCGTAGTGGTTGATGGAGCCGCACGTCTCCTGAAAAGATCCCGGATGGGGAATCGAAGGGTCATACTCTGACTGATAACATGGAGGTGGATGGCATGGACTCGGAAGGAAGACTCCTTTCCATTCCTTTCATGTGTGTCAGTGAGTCGCAGTGCATGTCCTGGTATCATCTTTAGTCACTTTAGTCGAGTATGAGGACCGACAAAAGCAGATGATAAGGTTTTCACTGACGAAAACAAAGGGGTATTCTTTGTCTCTACACTCTAGGAAAGGTGCTTGATGTTCAAGGACCAAAAAGGGGCTAGGTGATTGAGCCAGCACCACCCAGGTGGGGTAATTTATAGACACCCCCTGACTAAATATGTTCCACATAATCACCACCCATTTCCGTGGTGGAAGAGTTTGGGATCGTTCCTGGACTTTGCAAAACCCCATCCACATCGTTCGATCCCTCCATTCAGCTCTGAATTTCCGAGAAGACAGGGGCCGACTGGCAGATCTGCGGCCGGTTGGCATGGACTCGTGGTGTTGGCCCGACGACTCGACCCATGACTGCTTGGAAGAACCGCCTTCTCAGGACAATCCAAGTGCCAGCAGTGCTGTGTCGGGTGAACATCCACTCACTCCGAAAGGGACCAGAAACCGATGGTACAAACCGATGGTACATATAGGACAGGGCATGTTCATGATGTTCATTGATGTTCATGAAATGACCGAAAGACACCAGGGCTCAGCTGTTCTTTTTTGCTTCCACCGCCCCATCTAGCTGCGCCTAGCTTTGACTTCCCAACTCCGAGCTTATTAAACCAACCAAGGGGCGTAGCTGTAGGCCACTGTGATGTTGAACCTCAGATGCTTTCTGTGTTTCCATTGGACGGCTATACTGCTTGCAGTTCGGCCAGTTCGTCGAATCGAAGCCGAAACCGTGGAAGGACTCTGCTGGCAGATGTTCCTGAAACGTCTCCTGAAACGTGTTTTTGTTGAGGACTGGAAAGCTTGCAGCTTGCGGACTGCTTACAGCCATTCAGGTCCATCAATGCAAAGCATTATGGGTCCAAACTGGGACCCTGGTAACACGACTTGCGAACACGCCTGGGACCTTGCGCCATCCCTTGGTAGGCTGTGATACCGGGTATGAAGGGTGTGAGAAGTTGGACAGTCTCTAACAGACGTTGTGTGTGAACCATACGGTACCAACTACTGTACCAACTACTGTACCATCTAGTACTGCCTGTATGACTATTAGACTGGCATGTATGGGTGACTAACATCAAACTGGCAGTGCAAATTGAACTTTGAACACGGTTAGCAGTTAAGACTGAAGTAGGCACTCGAAGCTTGAGACAAAGACTGGACGAGACGAGACTCGAAATTCATATGAATTAAGCACCTAATTTCCATAGGACTCGAAAGTTGTGTCGTAGGATTTCTTTTTTTTGCTTAGCATTCCAAACTTTCCATTTCAACTTGTATCGTTGTTGGAATGATATCTCCGGATAGGTTGCAATGGTTATGTCCGGCGGTGGGAGATCTTGAGCAAATGATGCATCTGAATCTGTATGGTAAGGTGGGCTCTGGTGCGATTCAGCTTGGTACGAAATAATGGCTTGCATAGTTTCTTTCATGACTGGTCGATCAGGCATGCCACCGCATCTCTGTCTTTTGAATCCGAGTCGTTCCGGTTGACCGAGCCCGGTACCGTTCCTTCACCGAATCGAGTCAAGTCCAACTACCGCCCCGGACCGTCCACCCGGGCTGTTTGTCCGGTCTTCTTCGGCCCGTTGGAGCACCACGTCCTGACCCTGGGCCACCGCACTGAGGAGACACGGTGTTGGAGCCTCAGGGGCCACGGTCCACGCGCGGAGCTTTCGCAAACGAACGACCGCGTGACGGGTCGAAGCGGAAGCGCAAAGCCGATCCCAGCGCGGTGTTCTCGTCCCAAGTGGTCTTCGGGGTTTCGGGATCGGTCGAACTCTCCAACTGTCCAACATGAACTGCCTTTGTCTGGCTAACCTGGCAGGGACATGTTGCATAAGATACAGTATCGAAGGCACCAGCATCGTTGAAAAGGTCTTATGAGTCTTATGCGCACCATCCCAATTCCTGAAACAAATGATGATCGAAGTGGATCCTCTTTGCTCATCTTTCGCTCCACATGTCGACATGGCGATTCGCATGGGACTTCATTGCCATAACCTACGTGGCTACGTGGCTCAAAGCAATCAGCCCCAGCCCCGGATCCGGATCCGGGTGGCGTGTGCGGCAGTAGGGTGAAATGTCACCTAAGGAGGCAACGCCGGGCGTCGAAGAGATGGAAAGTGATGGAAGGTCCACGTGACGAGTCAAGACGGAGGCCTTGGATGATGGGAAGTTGAGTGGGGCATCTTGGATCCTCTTGGAACCATTATTGGCGAGCAACTACGAACTCTACCTCTTGGTGAAACTGGATGTCAAGAAAACTGTCATTCGCAGAATCGCAGAACGTCTTCCATGACTGTCTGACTGACGCCTCATGATCCCTGCTTCTGACTGCCAAGGCCAAGGCCACCAAGCGCTCGCCAAGTCTAATCAATATATAGTCTAATGAGTCTAATCCAACAAATCTAGTAATCATCCTGAAAACCTGAACAACCAGAAACAAATGGATGCTTACCCCTGTCCCAACCACTTGTTCACTTGATCTCAACTGCCATCTTGATGAACAACCATTTGTTTCTGCTTGGTACTGCGTTTCCGCCTTCCCACCCCCCTCGTTTCTGCCTTTTTTTCACGTCTCAGCGGTCGATCTGGGGTGTCACCTCCGAGCTGCTCCCGGGAACACCTCCCGCCGCCACACAGAGGGCGTTGTTCTTCTGGCAGAGCGACGTGTCCACCTAGCTCCGGCCGCACCCGGCGCATCCCGACGGGACACGCGGCCCGACGACGGCGGCAGATCTTCCGAGTCCAGTATCTGGGACTGGATCGCACCTCTGTTCATCGGTAGGTGGTGAGCGAGGCCGGCGCAGCTTACGTTCGTTGTCAGTGCGTGAAGCGAATGTTTTTTGGAGGGTAATGATGAGGCACTCGAATCAAAACACAGATTCCGTGATGCAGTAGTCAAAATCCTAAAACGATCAAGTGCATACTAGCAAGCCCACCGAAGACCTTGGGCCAAGTTGAAGTATGCATACAACCCCTAAATTCCAGCTGAACCTTCTGGCTTTGGAAAATGTCAAAAATGTCAATAGTCCCAAACATTCCATACACGCTTTATATATTTTTGGGGGGGGCTCAAAAAATCAGATGTTTTCTGTGGGCCTGCCCATGCAAAGCCTACTTTGTTCTCACCTATCAAAAATATTCAAAAATCAATGTCCCTCATCAGCTGAAAACCACACATGCATTGCATGTAGAACAAGCCTGCTAGAAACCTACTGCGTTGAATGGCTGTCAATATAAAGCGAAAAACATTATATGTTTAGCGGCTTTGGACGAAAAACTCACAAACAAAATAGTTACTTTACTTCGAGTGATCCCCACCATGACATTTCAATCATTTGTTTTCATGCCATGGTGAGGAGCATGTTGCCATGGTCGTCAGTTTTGTGGTTTTCGATTTTGCTTGTGGGTCCTCGGGTTTGGGATTGTTATTTTAGTGTTAGGGAGTTCCGCCTGTGGGTGTCGCCAGGGTCTCCAGTTGACATCCAAAAGTGCTATCCTGTGACCAACTGCCACACAAAACAGGCGGCAATTATATTGTTGTAGTTGTGTGTATGGTTGTGCTTGAGTGTTGTGGTTGTGTGTTGTGGTTGTGTGTTTGTGATTATGGTTGTGTTGGGGTTGTGTGTTGTGGTTGTGTGGTTGTGTTTGTGTGTTTGTGATTGTGTTTGTGTTTGTGGTTGTGTGCTTTACATTGCTTTACTGTATATATTTATTTGCTTGTAGCTCTCTTTGCTGAATCTTGTCAAATTACTGTCCACAAAGTGGGTAGCCGAGTAAACTGGAAGTCTTGAATAATACAGTCAATAAAGCCCCCCTATAATATTTGCCCTTGTTGGCTTTAATAAAAGCATCCCCGGCAATAATGTCTACGCGTTTTGTTTTTCATACGGTTCTTGTGGAGCTCGCTCTTGACTTCCCTCTGCATTCCGTTTGATTATCATTCGTGCGCCTTTATTACAGTAGACGTGTTTGTTTCGAATGATTTTCCGCTCACTACATTCCTTTTGACTCAAATGGGTTCCGCCCTGCTCTCGGCACCAAGCGAAGGTAGGTGCAGGTCTTGTTCCACAACCGCTGCGAGGATGGAGAATGAGATTCAGACACCTGTGTTTCTCGCATCATTGGACTTGAAGACCTTTCTTTCCGCTGCGCGTTTCAGGTGAACACCGAAATGGAAGATCCATATATAGATCCGTGCTTCCCTTCCCGGCTTCCGACCCCCTTTGATATACATCAGACTCTGTGGCTCGACTGATGGATACATCAGGTCAAGACAGCTAGGTCTGACCCGCTGCATGAATCGCATGTATACCTGCTGAACCCGAACATGAAAGCTGCACATATGCGATGTGACAACTGCATAGCACATGAGGTATGGTGAATCAAAGAAAATCAATGACATAAGTGAGCCGAACAGCTGGAAAAGGTAGATCATTGGGGAGGGTCCAGGGTGAGCATTTTTTTACCTTTGATCGACCCCCTAGAGCCACCCCATATCACCCCAAAGTATATAAAGGCAAACCCATGGAATGAGTGGGGTTGAATGGTCTCAAATTGAAATCCACCTTGCCAAACCGGAAAAAAAAGAAAACAAAGACAACACAATACAACACACATGCCGTGACGCCCGGAGGAGTTTTGTGTATCATGTGTCTGCCGAGATCCAATGACTTTTGATGACTTTTCCATGGTTTCACCGATCTTCACAAAAGTTGAAACCAGATCTAAGTTTGGAGATGTTCATCACTGATTTTGGTACTTCTGTCCACTCTTAGATCGGACTGCCACCGCGTTTTTAGGCCAGGGGTGGTTGAGAAAAAGGGGTCTTTCTGGGGAGGCATACCTTCCAAACTACCTTCGAGTCCCATGGATGGTCTGGGTATCATTGTATACCCTGGGGTTCCTGGCCCACCACTAATTGCATGGACTTTACACTACAAAACCAGGTTTTATGACTTTTTCAACCCATGCTTTCGATGGTCCCAGGGAAGCTTTCGGTGGGACACCAACAGTTGTCAGGTCTTCCGCTGCCACTCCCTGCTCTTGCTAATGTAAAAAACCAAGGCACATAGCACCAGGGCGCAGTGCAATAGGGATGGGCGTTCATTGTACAGTCATACCTCTCGATCTTCGAGTGTCTAAAGGTTTTGCTGGCTTCGGGGATCGGAGATTTGCTGTAGCAGCTGAGGTGAGGGTACCTGACGGAACACCTGAGGTGGAACTCAGGTTCCGAGATCCGATGAGCTGATATCTTTTGGTGCAGCATCCGAAATCGGTTCATGACGAGATATGCAACAAGCAGCTGTTTTCTACAAGCAGCAGTTTGGGAAGGGTCATCTCTTTTTCACCTGCAAGTTGTAGAGATGGATTCAGAATCCAGAATCTCAGGGTGGGCCCACCAGTGCACCTCTTCCAGAGATCAGTTGCACCGGCGAAGCTGGATCAATCTGGATCCGACGCTATCTCAGGCTCCCAAAGGTTCGGTCGCATGTTTTTGTGAAGCCTCGTGAGGCGGCGTAGCCACACGACCATCTGGGAGACTGCCACGTTTGCCGAGAAACAGCCAGGGGTGGTGGGAAAAAACAAGGCCTCAGTCGTGTTTGTGTCATTCTGATTCATTCCAAGGGTCACAGAAGCCATCCGGCGCAGACCGGTGGTGATTCGCCCTGTCAGGCCCTGCTCCAGTCGCATCCCACCGAACCCGGTTCGTTCGACCGCTGCTTCCGCCCTGTCAGCCCCGCGTGGCAACGTCGATCGAAAAGGGCACAAGGTGTTGTTGGAATCATGGGCAGCGCAGGCACCGAGTCCATAATCCGCTGCCATGCCCCAACTCTGCACGACCGCCCTCGGCGTCGCGAAGTCCGGACGTCGGACCAGAACCGTTCCGGCGCCTGCGACCCTGAATTCTGTGGTCAGAGAAACAGAATATGGTTGAATACACAGGAAATTGCTTAGTTGAACAAGGACATGACGACTTGAACTTCGGACGTGCCGATTGTCAGAGCTGAGTCAGCTTCTTCCCGATCGATCGGCTTCGGCTGGCAGAATTCTGCGACCGCGCGGCGAAATGGCGGCGTAGTCTGAATGGCTGCTGTCGATACCTTGAGGCTCCGCCCGACCGTCGCGGCGTCGGCTCAGCCCGTTGGCTGGTCGGTGGCCAGGTGCCCATTGCGGTGGTCTCATGACGTCAACTGGTGTCGGTTCCAAAGATGGGTGTGGAACTTGGAGCAAACTTCGCCCCCAGATGTTGTGTGTGGCGTGGTCTTCATGCTTCTGGGGTACAGACCAGGAATCCTCCAAAAGTGGCCCATCGACGTGTGTCCAACACACCCTGACTACCAGCATCCTCCTTCACAGGTCACCAATTGAGACCTGTTGGGTCCCTTCCCAACCCTCCATTTCGGAGACCTGTTGGAGGATGCTGAATGATGCTGGTACTCATCCCAGACGCTCCATGTATGCCATATATGCCTACATTGACCCCTCAAACCACCCCAACTGATCGGCATATATACCATACATGGAGCGTCTGGGTATACCATATACTTCGGAACCCGTGGCGCGACCCACCAGACCCTTCGGATGCGCGGTGTTCGCCGCCGCCAGACGTTCACCGGTCGGGTGAACCACCCGTCGGTTGCGTCCAAGCGACAGGGGCACTCGGGTGCGCCCGCCTCCACGCGCGCCGTGAGCAACAGGAGGAACATTGCACGCCACATGACCTGCGTCATGTTGAAAGAGTTCTCGCTGGAAAAAACAACCACCCCTGCCGGCTCCAGTTCGTAGCTCCTCAAAATGGTATGACTGGCCGCTTTTTCAAGTGGAACGTCACCGATTTCGCAATCCAAAGGCACACCCTTTTCGACCAGTCCAGGAGTCCGACCCAGTTTCAAAGGGTCACTAATGGTCACTGCATGTCGCCGTGATCTTTTTCAACATCTGGGCGATGCCCTGACCTTCGTCGCGACCGTTCGTCGTTTCGAGCAAACGTCGAACGTAAACCCGACTTCACCGGTCAAGTGAGACCTGTTTTTTTTTGGGACCTAACAAGCCTCAGTACAGTAAGGGGGGTGAAGGGGCCATTTGGAGTCTTGAGCGAATCGCTGGTTTTTGTGAGTCACCAAATCCAGCTTGAAGTCAGCTTTTGGACACTTCTGTTGATTGACATGAATTAACGGAGTAAGCAGTGGCATCATTCCTTTCTTAAGTGTAATATGGCACACATTCACCACCCAAAACCACCAGTCATGTAGGCCATTGTAGGCCATGGAACATCTGCGGGTGGCAATTTGTCCGCTGCGCCTTAGGTCGCCGCTTGGCACCGTCTGAAAACAGGGACGAGTGAAGCCAAGAAGCCAAAGGCTACGAGAAAGGCGGGCAGGTTACCGGCCAAAACCACCGAGCGAGGTCCCTGGCAGTGTATGTGATAGAGTTCTGGACTCTGAGGATCAGAAAAAGAACCAAAACCACGCGAGGTCGGCAGAGCCTATCCGATAACGGGATTGGAGAGTCGAAACGAGTAGTTGGAGAATAGTTCAACCTCTTCGGGTTGATGGACACAGAGAGTAGTGAGACCTATTTCGGACAGCAGGTCGCAAGCGAGACCTATTTCGGACACACCGAGTCCACCCATTTCGGCATGGCGGTGGTTGGAAAGGGCTCCTGGGGGACCTGGAAACGCTACACGACTGCAGCACCCAAGGTCCACCGAGCGAGCTTCCTCGGTGAAGCTCGGTGGAGCTTGGCGTTGAGGGAAACGAAGGGAAGAAAGATGATGACTTGGGACCTGGACTACCCAGCCCACTATCAGGGATCTCCAAACAGGTCACCCATTACAGTCAATGGTCCAAGTAGCCTTGTCTTGGCGCAACAAAGATGCCATCCAAGCTTCGTTTTGAAGGGCAGATTTCTGGAAGTGTAGCAAACAATTTGACAATTGATGGGTGCTTCTCCGTCAACGGACACAGCGTGCGACGGACACAGCTCCGTCGACATCGCACGACGGACAGCTGCTTGAATCGGAATCCTCGTCTGCACACGCAGAGCGAGCTATGCGTGATTGAAAGGTCCGCCAACCAAACACAACCTCCAGGAGTCACAAAGGGGTGCTGAACTTGGAGGATAGGGGTGCCCAATCTCCACGGCCGGCTGGGACGAGAAGCCCCAAGAGGTGACTCCTAAATCCCATGTCTTCAACTCCTCTTCCACCCGGATAGGATCCGCACCCTCAAAAACCATGGTTTTGAGGGTACAAACCCTAGTTCTAGAGGGTTCGATCCCTTCTAAGGAGGGTCCACGGATCCTTAGGGCAGCACAAAATCGCCCAGAGCTGACCCTAGCGAGATGACATATCAACCGGGTCCGATCGTGTCAGTCACCCGCTGTGGGAGCTCAGCACCTCAACTCCCACTTGTGGCTGGCGAGCAGCGCCTATCGCCGAACCGGCCCAGTCTGTCGGAGGAAGCACCGGAAGTTGTGACTAAGTATGCCAATCACTTCCCAGTGGGGAGTGTATGTATCATCATTGCAGGATTTGAAGAGATTTGCAAAGGAGAGCCACGGATGACGGATGCTCATATATTGCATATGGCAAATGCCATGCAAAACTTCACTGCAACGCCGTCACACTAAAGTACCCTTCATTCTTCTGCACAAAAAGACGTGCCTGCTTTCGTCGACGTTGAGCTAGCTAAGATTCAACGGTAACAACAGGAAGCAAATATCGTTCGGAACATACTGTATCATCATCATCATCATCATCATCATCATCATCATCATCATCATCATCATCATCATCATCATCATCATCATCATCATCATCATCATCATCATC